AATGAGGGTCGCGGGCCAGAATCCTGCACTAGGTAAATTTTTACAATTATCCATTCCTTGTCAAGCTCCATTTACTACCACATACCCAATATTTGAAGAAAATTTATTTCCTAGTTTTTTACCACAGTTTTTATCAGAAATAAAGTTTAATAATCGTGGAAAAAAATTAATATTAGCTTACCCATAAATAAAAAAACAATGCCACCGAAGATAATTATCATCAAACCACCCACTTTTGCTACGGTAAAGATACTCTGGATGGCAGTTCCTGCATGCACACTGTAGCTGTTGTAGGTAAACACAAGAACTGTTGGAAGAAATAAAGACATATTCAGTTGTTGAAACAAGTAGAGCTTTGCTTGATTAAACACTACTTTAGCTGAATTTATTGTTTCAAAAAAATATCATGGGTTTTCCGTTATCTCATCATTCTCTTCTTCGTCACAGTATCCGTTGTACATATATGATTCCTCTCGATATCGCTTAAATCAGCGATACGTTTATATCATGATTTCATCTTATCGGTGAATCCAATCATCATATTGAACCATTGCGCAGAAACCTATATGCATAGAACAGATGTAGAAGGTGTGTCAGTACTTACCAATACATGCCTCGGCCAGCAGTGTTATCGCCCATGGTGGAGGATCACAGTCCCCATAGAATGGTACTATAGCATACGTGGCGAAAGTTTGTGCGATGATAGCAGTATTACCAGGTGATACAATCACAAAATTCACCCACAGCATAAAAAATGCGAGAAATTCACCAAATGCCTCGTTAAGGTATGTATACTCGCCTCCGCCTTTCTTGATAGATGATCCCAGTTCAGCGTAACACATACCACCTAGTGTAGCTATGACACCGCATAGACTCCATACAATCAATGCACCACCAACAGAACCACTGTACTCTAGAACACCTTTCGGAGAAATAAATATTCCTGATCCGATGATGGAACCAACGACTATAGTTATACTGCTGAATAGACCGATTTGTCTTTTCATCACAACAGCATCTTCCGAGGTATCATCTTTAACAGACTGTTGTTCTTCCTCTTTGGAAAGAGGCCTTGTACGTTGGTGATGCTTGCTTTCTGCCATGATTTAACAAATTACAGTCACATGACGGTACTACATCTGTATGATATTATATGTTCTTTTGACGACCTTAGTTAATTTTTAACAGAACGATAATACATTTAAATTTGGAACTGTTACAGCCATTTTAATTATGAGCAGATAACATTTTGACTGGTATTTACCGCCACATTCTCCACACAGTGACAGCAAATATTATCCCAGTGAGCCTGTCATTGGCAGTTTTGTACACGTTTTGACATGATGTTTGTTTATTAGGTGTAATGTATATATTTATCGCCACCATAATCGATGCTAATTTATAGTCTGTCCTGGTCACAGTAAACATCGATTCAATTGCGTAGAATTTAGAGACGACTTCAAAAGATCGATGTCAGATAAAAAACTTATTTGCTCTAGTTTGGGGGTTGGGGGTGACCTCGGAAAGTTTCCATCCTACAAAAACAATTTTTAATGAAGTCAAACAAATCTTGTAGTATGTGTAGTTCGTTTTCTTTTTCTATCCAATCATAGACAAAAATTATAGAAAATGAAAAAAAACAAAAACATCCAAGACGAGAAAATAGTTTGGCCCGCTTGTAAATATATGCGTCAAATGAGGTCAATTTCATGGCATGGACCTAGAGCATGCGCAGAACCCAGAAAAGTAGTTTGCGCATGCGTATATTCCCCTTCATTATAACAACCAACTGCTATGCCATACTGCTGTCCGAATATCAATTTGTATTTAATAAGGAATGTAGTCTGACGCCATGATCAATATTTATCAATTAAGTTTCAGTGGGGGGGGGGGACTAAAAGAATTAAGTTTTTTATCCGACATCGATCAATACAGCCAGTGAAGATTACAAGAATAACAATATACATTACATATAAATTTGTAGTTTTCAAATGTCTGCAGCTGATGATGAGAATGAGTACTTTGTAGATGGAAGGAAAACATGTTGCATGGTTGAACTGTTTATGTCAGTTTTAAAAATGTTGAAGATTTGGTGTGTTTTTGATCTGTTGTAACACAGCAATATAATACTCGCCACAGTTTCGCAGCGCTGCAGTGTCTCGCCATATGAATTCTCATCTGAATAGTAAAAATAACACATGTAAACCATACATCTAAAGCAATACCTGACATGCACACATATGACTAGCTAGTTCGATTATAAAAATGTGTTTGATTATGATGTATAAGTTCGCTTTGAATTTGTGGCTTTGGTGGTAGTTTTAAAATTGAGTTTTATGAATAAGCAATGGCTTACTGAGGTATCGAAACATTACGCGATATTTCATTTGCGTACGTGTGTCATTTTAGGTGTAAAGTTGTGAAATATGTTTCATTTCACATAGTCTGTTTCACGTTTAGCTAAGCCTTGTATCTATTGCATACCATGTGAAGGCATGAGCTTTGGACCCCG